ATTGTTTATATTATATTTCAGTTTGATCAGGCATCAGCACTACCATTCAGTTTCAGACGTTCAGGTGGGGACTCAGACTAAGTACTACATTGATTATAATATCGCTACCATGTTTGAGGTATGTATATTCAGTATCCGCTCGGAATGGTCGCCGGTCCATTCTGGGTTCTAGTGGCCTAATCTGCCCACTAGAGTGTGCACATGGTCCGATATTAGTTTGTGCCGGCAGATTTCGGTATTAGTTTGTGCCGACAGATGTTCAGTTATCAGTTACGTGACTTATGTCGCGAGATCAGACCGGTATCAGACATCAGATATCAGTTTCCATTTCAGTTCAGTTATATATATGCTCAGATCATGATATTGTTATTATTTTCAATGTTTACATTAGTATGAGTTTCTGCGGAGCACAAGTCTTTTAGTGCTCACGCCCCCACGTATTTTATGTTTTTCAAGTCGCAGGGTCGGGGACGAGGAGTGAGCTGGCTGGCAGTTCAGGATATTTTGTGAATTTATATATATGTTTTAACACGCAGTTATTTCCGCTAAAAAGTACTTAGTTTCAGCTTTTGTTCCGACGTTAGTCGGTTAAGACATTAAAACCGTTTTTATTTATCAGTTTAAAAATTTTAATGGTTTTTAGAAAAATCAAGTTTTCACGGTATCATCCCGAATCAGTTTTCGCAAAACAAATATTTTATTTATTTATTCAGAAAATTGCAAAAAAACGCGTACTCTGATAGCATTAAAAAGTCAGGATGTTACAATTGGTATCAGAGCACGTTTCTGCGTCTCTGAAAAGTTTTTCAGTCAGTAATTTTCAGAAAAACCTGAACCGTCACGCTCACGCCTCGCCGACTCCAGGTAAGTGCTGATTCAGTTTTCAGTTATAAACATATTACTTTGTCTATGCTCAGAAAATCAGTAATCAGACTTAGTTAAGATGCTCGAATCAGATTCAGACTTTAGAGTTCAGATATATCTCTAGAATTCAGTATATTCAAACATGACCTTAGAGATCAGTATACTCAGGCATGACTCTAGAATTTAGTATCTTCTGATATGACTCTAGAGTTCCTCAGGATTCATGTCAGTATTTATCGGCCATTTTTGGCGACTCGTCAAGAGATTTGTGTGCCTTAGTAATTAGTCAGAATATTATCACGTGTTCAATAATTTTGAACTTTTCCAATGTTCAGATGCCGCCTCGTAGGGAACCCGATCATCCGGCTCCTATTCAGGCCACAGTAGTCGCACTGTTCCGCGACTATCATGCCGAGAAATTCTCCGGGCAAGGAGATCCCCATGTCGTAGACGAGTGGATTCAGGGCCTGGAGTTTATTTTTGAGGTCATGGATTGCCCCGATAGATATCGCGTAATCTGCGCTCAACTTCAGCTCACCGGTGATGCCCGGCTCTGGTGGAACGCTTACTGGAGCAGGCGTCCCGGCGAGAAGGCGGGATGTACATGGGAGATGCTCAAGGAGCTGATCCGTGAGAAGTACTACCCCACCTACTACCAAGCAGAGATGGAGCGTCAGTTTCTATCGCTCCAGCAGGGTACTCGTACTGTTGACGAGAATGAGAGGGAGTTCACTAGACTTGCAGCTTTCGTTCCTGATTTGGTTCGCACGGAGGCCCAGAGAGCACAACATTTCATTCACGGGCTTTACCCAGAAGTCCGTCATAACATCGTAGGCCACGTGACACAGACCTATGCTCGTGCTGTTTCGATTGCTCAGGAGGTGGACGCCAGCATCAGGAGGAAGGCCGTTCGTGATCATCCTCAGCCATCTGCCCCTGCTCAGTTATCTTCAGTTCCACCGATGCCAGCTCTACCAGCTGCCCAGCCATCTAAGAACAACAAGAGGAAGGGGAAAGGTGCCCCGACGGATAAGAGGACCCGACGGAGGCTACAGCAGATCCCACAGTGCCCGACATGCGGACGACTTCACCGAGGCGAGTGTCGCTTCGGCCAAGATATTTTTTACTATTGTCACGAGCCCGGACATTTCGCGAACCGTTGTCCGAAGAAGGCACAGCAGCCTCAGCAGCCACCGCAGCAGCAGCAACCCCGTCAGCAGGCTCAGAGGCAGCCTCAGCAGCAGTAGTAGAGGGGCAGACAGCAGGCCCGAGTTTATGCAGTCGATCAGGCAGAGGCCGAGCAGCAGCCATGTACTATGTCAGGGATGGTTGTTCTTAATAATGTTCATGTGTTTGCTTTGTTCGATACTGGAGCGACACATTCTTTTATTCACGACGATGTCTTGATGCCATCGGAGTTCATGCCGTCACCGCTGTCGATCCTCTCGAGGTGAGTTTAGCCTTGGGACGAAAGATAGTGACCTCAGCTAAAGCTTCAGATCTTAGCCTTTCCATCGGTGGCCGAGTATTGTCTACCGACGCATTTGTTCTCGAGATGAGGGACTTCGACCTTATTCTCGGAATGGATTGGCTATCCTTTTATCATGCAGATATCAGATGTCATGACCGGGAGATTACTCTTTATCTTCCGGGATACAATTCAATCACTTTCTTTGGTTCCAAGAATCGTTCATTGCCTCATGTTGTTTCGATGGCGAAAGCCACTAAGTTGTTGCGACGAGGCAACTGCCAGGGTTATCTGGTGATCCTTGTCGACGATTCTCAGAAAGCACGCTCACCTCACGATGTTCCAGTCGTTCGTGAGTTTGTGGACGTATTCCCAGACGAACTTCCAGGAGGACCGCCTAACCGGCAGGTGTAGTTCTCTATCGATCTCATTCCAGGAGCCGGTCCAGTATCCAAAGCCCCATATCGTATGGCGCCGAAGGAGTTGCAGGAGCTTAAGGCGCAGATTCAGGAGCTATTATGACTCGGTTTCATCCGACCGAGCGTGTCACCTTGGGGAGCACCCATTCTCTTTGTTAAGAAGAAGGACGGATCCATGCGCATGTGTATCGACTACCGGGATCTTAACCGGTTGAAGATCAAGAACAAGTATCCGCTTCCCAGGATCGACGACTTATTTGATCAGTTGAGGGGAGCCTGTGTATTCTCAAAGATTGATTTACGATCAGGCTACCACCAGCTGAAGATTAAGGAATCAGATATCGCTAAGACTGCTTTCAGGACTCGTTACGGCCATTACGAGTTCGTCGTCATGCCATTCGGTCTCAGCAATGCTCCAACAGTTTTCATGGACCTCATGAACCGTATTTTCCATCCCTACCTTGATCAGTTCGTTATTGTCCTTATTGACGATATTCTTATCTACTCGAAGAGCCAGAAGGAGCACGAGGAGCATCTGAGGGTGGTTCTCGAAACCCTCAGACGAGAAAAGTTGTTTGCAAAATTTTCCAAATGCGAGTTCTGGCTCCAGCGAGTATCCTTTCTGGGTCATGTTATTACTCAGGCAGGTATCGAGGTGGATCCTTCTAAGGTCTCAGCTATTCAGAACTGGTCGACACTGAGGAGTCCGTCCGAGGTTCGTAGTTTTCTCGGTCTAGATGGCTATTATCGCAGGTTTATCGAGGGCTTTTCCAAGATTGCCCTCCCTTTATCCCAGCTGACGAGAAAGTCTGTGAGGTTCGAATGGACTGACCGATGTGAGTCGAGCTTTCAGGAGCTCAAGAGGAGATTATCTTCAGCACCGGTGTTGACTATTCTCGATCCTTCTCGGAGTTTCACCATCTTCAGCGATGCTTCGAGACAGGGCTTGGGATGCGTCCTTATACAGGACGACCAGGTCATTGCATATGCTTCACGTCAGCTTAAGCCGCATGAGCAGAACTAT